TGAAATAGGGGGCCTCCAGCCCTTCCTAGGGTGCCCTGGTGGCCACTCTGGGCACAACCAGGAAAACTCTTCTGCTCCCCCTGACCTCTGGAGCCCTTAAAGGGGTAGACTCTGGCCACAGTGCCCGTGCCAGCTGCAAGCCTGCCAGCCCCGAGCCAGCAGTGCACCTTGCTCAGCATAAGCCAGCAACCCAATGGCATCCAGCCCTCCACCGCTCCCCAGGAGCAGGCTGGCAGCTCCCAGGAGCCTATCAGGGGCCGCAAAAGGTGGGCGCTTTCCTGGTCTAGTGCGGAGATCATGGACCTCATTGAGGTTTGGGGGGAGGCCTCCAATGTCCACGATCTCCACACTAGACACAGGAACGTGGCTGTCTAAAGGTGGAGGGCTGACAGCCTGGCCACCAAAGGCCACATGTGCACCTAGGAGCAGGTGTGCATGAAAATAAAAGAGCTGCAGCAGGCCTATGCCAGGACCTCAGGGGGCTGCTCCCAACCAGGGGCTGACCCAGACCCCTGCCCTATTACGATGCCCTGGACCACATCCTGGGGGGTCAGACAGTCCGTGCCCCCCAGGTGGTCATCGACCCTGGGGCAGAGGGCCCTGCCTATGACACTGAGGAGAAGGAGGAGGACGGCCAGGAGCCTGGAGAGAGCATGCCCTGCACCCAGGACCCCCGAGCCATCCCAGGAAGCCTGTCGCCGGTGTCATCCAAGGCCTGGGAGGCCTCAACATGTGAGTGCCATCACTGTCCCCTTATGAGTGGCGGGGGGGGTGGGGAGAGGGAACCCAGGGACCGCATGTGTCAGCCTTGCTGACCACGGAGCACGCAGCAACCTGTGTGTGTGCCGTGCCACCCTGGGCATGTGGCCCCAGCTGGCTGCCACATAGGGGCCCTGGCCTGTTACCCACACATAAGTATGTAAGAAGGCACATGACATGCTCCTGACCCCGGGGAGGGACACTGCATGATGCCCTCCCTCCAGAAGTCCCCTATATGCAGAGGCAGGGCAAATCTCCTCTTCCCCCCCACACTCACACTATATACAGCACAGGGGCCAGCTCACAGGACATGATGATGCGGAGACCTGCCGTCCTCGCCTTGCAGAGTGGGGCTGGGCTTCACCCACTGTGTCCCCAGGGATAACTGACCACTTCTCATGTTTCTCCCCAGCCACAGCAGTTGCAAGTGCAGGGCGCACCATCCCTCCCAGGACAGCCTCCCGCACCGGGGCCAGCAGGCTCACCCGGAACCAGGAGGAGTACCAGCAGCAACACCTGCAGTTACTGTTAGGGCAGGTCCGCAGCCAGGAGCAATGGATGCAGGAAGACCTGCAGCTACGGCGGGAGAGCTTGCAGGAGCTGCTTGACCAGGGCCGTGCCATCCGCGACCACCTGCAGACCCTGGTGCAGAGATTGCTGCCTGCTGCCACTCCAACCCCTGCAGCTGCCCCAGCTATCACTCCTCCTTCCACTCCTGCTCCCCCTCCTGCTTCTTCCTCTCCCCCTTCACCCACCCCACCCTCCATACCTGGCCCCACACTCATAGTGTTGGGAGACAGGG